AAAAAAAAAAAAAAAAAAAATGTACAGTAGTAGGTTCTATAACTTGAGGATGCTCAGAATTCATTTTTTAGCACAGAATCTCTATACCTATAAAAAGAGCTACCCATTAATAAAGTAATGGTAGGTTGTAGCTTTATTTGGTTGTACTTTGAAGAAGTGCTCTCTAAGGGAAACAAGTTTGGGGTCATGGGTAGAAGGAAGCAGTTTTTTTTTTTTTTTTTTAAGACAGAGTCCTTTTTCTTTTCTTTTTTTTTTGAGACAGAGCCTCAAGTTACCGCCCTGGGTAAAGTGCTGTGGCATCACAGCTAGGCAACCTCCAACCCCTGGGCTTAAGCGATTCTCTTGCCTCAGCCTCCTGAGTAGCTGGGACTGCAGGCACCCGCCACAATGCCTGGCTATTTTTTGGTTGCAGTTGTCATTGTTTGGCAGGCCCAAGCTGGATTTGAACCTGCCAGCACTGGTGTATGTGGCTGGCACCTTAGGTGCTTGAGCTATAGACAGAGTCTTAGCCTGTTGCCATGGGTAGGATGCCATGGCATCATTGTAGCTCATAGCAACCTCAAACTCTTGGGTTTAAGAGATACTCTTGCCTCAGTTTTTCTATTTTTACTAAAGATGGGGTCTCCCTCTTGCTCAGGCTGGTCTTAAATTCCTAAACTTAAGCAGTCTGCTCACCTCAGCCTCCCAGAGTGCTAGGATTATAGCTGGGAGCAGATGTTTTGAGGAGGAGTCCTTAGATTTTTCCTCCTTCCATTCTCCCCAGCCTCTCTAAATGTGAAGAGATCAGTTGATCAAATGAAAGAATACCCTACAGCCCCTCTTGATATGCTTCATTTTATATTGTGAGGTTCACTCTACTCTGTTGAATTCTAAGGTACCAGTTGACTCTGGTTGGGTACAATGGCAATACTGAGACTTAGTTGTAGTCAAGACCCTCTCTGAAGCTTAAGGATCATCACCTGTTTGGGAAAGGATGCTGATCCTCAACCTTCAGAAGGTATCTTGACTACAGCTGAATCCCAGTGTTGCCACTGTAGGCCTTTGCTTCCCAATTATATTCTTAGGAACCTAAGGTTTTTAGAGATCCTTTAGATGCAATGTTGTGGTCGTGGTTGAGGATAGGGAGGAACCAGAACTATAGTAAGAGATAGAGGCAGATCCAGGGCCTTTCTTCCCAGTAGTAGACAGACTTCACAGTTGAAAGTTTTCTATCATGGCTCGGCGCCTGTGACTCAAGTGGCTAAGGTGCCAGCCACATACACCTAAGGTGGCGGGGTTTGAATCCAGCCCGGGCCCACCAAAACAACAATGATGCCTGCAACCAAAAAATAGCCAGGCGCTGTGGCGGACGCCTGTGGTCCCAGCTACTTGGGAGGCTGAGGCAGGAGACTCGCTTGAGCCCAGGAGTTGGAGATTACTATGAGCTGTGATGCCACGGCACTCTACCCAGGGGGACAGCTTGAGGCTCTGTCTCAAAAAAAAAAAAAGAAAGTTTTATTCAGTGATGTGGACTTTCAGAATTCTCTTTCTCTCAGATAGTAGGAAACCTACTTTGTACATTCTCTTCTGTCTACTTCCATCAAGAGGAGAACAGATATCTTATTAAAATTACTGTTTTGGCTTTTCAGGTAAATAAGAATGACATCCGTAAGAAGGTGAGGCGACTAATGGGAAAATCGCATATTGGGCTTGTTTACAGCCAGCAAATCAATGAGGTGCTTGATCAGCTGGCGAACCTGGTAAGCATATCTGGGCCCTCCTTTAGCTTCCCCTTCCACTACACTTGTCAGCCTCCTTGGTTTGGGCCTTCTGGCCAAATGCAGAGGCTTTCCTACAGGTCATGTCTTGGCTTGTGTCACTGTGCAGTGCAGTTAACCCCTACTTTTGTGAAAATGGGGCAGTAATTTTTGATTCTAGATGAGGCTTCAGCCTTTCTGTGTTGGGATCTCTATACCAAAACCATCTGAAGTGCAGCAGTTTTGATGTGTATAGTCTGGACTTCTGAGAATCTGCAAGATGAAAACTATTTTCATTACCATACTCAAATGTTACTTCCCTTTATGACTGTGTTAACATTGCACTGATGGTGCAAAAGCAGAGGTGGGTATAACTGATGGAGCCTTAACACAAATGAAGGCAGTGACCCCAAATGGTGCTAGCAGCCATTGTACTGGTACTCCTCACCTTTATGCAGTTTTTTTCTTTTTCTTTTTCTTTTTTTTTTTTGAGACAGAGTCTCACTTTGTCACTCTTAGTAAAGTGCTGAAGTGCCATGGTGTCATAGCTCACAGCAACCTCAAACTTTTGGGCTCAAACAATCCTCTTGCTTCAGCCTCCCAGATATCTGGGACTATAGGCGACCAGCACAATGCCCAGCTATTTTTAGGGACAGGGTCTTCGCTCTTGCTCAGGCTGGTCTCAAACTTCTGAGCTCAAGCAGTCTACCCACCTCAGCCCCCCAGAGTGCTAGGATTATAGGTGTGAGCCACCGAGCCCAGCCTATCTTTATGTAGATTTTTTAAAAAGCCAGGCCGGGGATGGTGGCTCATGCCTGTAATCCCTGAGATTTGAGAGAATTGCTTGGGCAAAAAATTTTAAAAATTAACCAGGCAGAGTATCTTGTGCCTGTAGTCCCACCTACTCAGGAGGCTGAATTGGGAAGATTGCTTAAGCCCAGAAGTTTGAGTCTGCAGTGAGCTGTGATCATGCTACTGCATTCCAACCTGGAAAACAGAGTGGGATCCTGTCTCTAAAAAAAATAAAACCAAAAATCTCCCAGTGTTCCTTAGGCATGTTTTTGAAGCAGTGAAAACCATTAGTTTTATTAAATTTCAGTCATAGATTATAAATCTTTTTAACATTCTATATGACAAAATGGGAAGTATACATAAACCATTTCTGCTGCAAACCGAAGTATGATGGTTGCTTTAAGGAAGAACAACTTATGGCAGTTTGAGTTGCAAGGTGAGCTAGTAGCTTTGTTTGTGGAACATCATTTTTACTTGAAAGAATGACAAAAAAACTATGATTATTCATAGTTGGGTGACTGACCGATTTTTCTTTAAAATTACTAAAGTCAGCCTGTTGTTTAGTAGAGATGGGGGTCTTGCTTTTTGCTCAAGCTGGTCTCGAACTCGTGAGCTCAAGCTATTGAGGAAAACAATTGGCAGTATTTGTTACCAATGACAAGATTCAACTTTTAAGTGAAAAATGAACATTTTGGGAGACTTCTGAGCTTGAAGCTTCCTAATATTTTAAGACTTTTCTAATGAGCTTTGTAATGATATTAACAAACATGACTTATAAAATATTGTGTAATGAAATACAGCAACATTTAGAAGAGCTGCATAACTCAGTGAACCAGTATTTTCCAAATACTAATGTGTGATGTTCAAATTCAAGTATGGATAAAATGTTCACTCAAAATGTAAGGCAGATAAATAGATGTTTAATGTAACAGTATAAAGTGTTCATTAAGGGCAGCATCTGTGGCTCAGTGGAGTAGGGTACCAGCCCCATATGCCGGAGGTGGCGGGTTCAAACCCAGTCCCGGCCAAAAACTGCAAAAAAATAAAATAAAATGTTCATTAAGGCTGGGTGTGATTATGCTTATAATCTAGCACTCTGGGAGGCTCAAGTGGGAGGTTTCCTTGAGCTCAGGAGTTCAAGACCAGCCTGAGCAAGAATGAGACTCTTTCTCTACTAAAAATAGAAAAATTATCTGGGTGTCATGGCCAGCACCTATAGTCCTAGCCACTTGGGAGACTGAGGAGGATCACTTGAACTCATGAGTTTGAGGTTGCTGTGAGCTAGGCTAATGCCATGACACTCTAGCCTGGGCAGCAAAATGAGACTCTATCTCAAAAAAAAAAAAGAAAAAGAAAAAAACGTTTATTAATATTTTCAGATTTTACATTGCAACTAACTTTAAGAAACTGCTGGCTCGGTGGCCAGTGGCAAGCCAATGAGTCTGGGATAAGGAAGGTGGTATGAATTTACTTGCTGAACAAAGGATTCTTGCCCCAGAATCCACTATAAGAAATACGTTGAATGTCCCTAAAAATCTCTTTCATCAGAATGGACGTGATCTCTCTATCCGGTCCAGTGGCAGCCGACATATGAAGAAGCAGACGTTTGTAGTACATGCAGGGACAGACACAAATGGAGATCTCTTTTTCATGGAGGTAGGTACTAGTTCATGTTGGGGACCCAAAGGGATATTTGAAAGTTAGGAACTCCTAGATCCAATGCTAGAATATTTTTCCCATTTACCTCATTCATCTTCATGATGCATTTATCATTAAATTATCAAGTTGTTAGGCAAATAATTAAATTTATATAGCATATGATATCCCCATTACTTTTATATGTATTTTGAATAGATGACATAGTCACATTGTCCATAAATCAGAACAATGTAGAATAGTATACATTGGGAGGTCTTACACTCATGCTTGTCTCTTTACATCTAATTTCCCACTCACTTCATCTCTTCATTCTCTAAGTAACCACTTTATAGGTTTCTTTTGTGTCTTCCAATGAATTTTATACAAGTAAAATACAAACATAAATCTTTACTTTTCTCCTTTTTTACAGAAAGGTAGCACATTGTATCCATTGTTCCTTAGTTCTTTCATTAAACATTATCTAGATGATCTTTTATATCAATGCAAAAAGAGTTTTCTCATTCTTTCCATGACTACTTGTATTCCACTGTGTGACCATGCCAATGATTTATTTAGCCAGTCAGTACGTATAGATCCTTGGGTTAAGCAGGCACAGCATCATTTATTATAGCACTATTAGCAACAGCAATTTTTTTTATTTTTATAGAGACAAAATCTCACTTTATCACCCTTGGTAGAGTGCTGTGGTGTCACAGCTCACGAGCAATCTCCAACTCCTAGGCTTAGGCAATTCTCTTGCCTCAGCCTCCCAAATAGCTGGGACTACAGATGCCTGCCACAACACTCAGCTATTTTTTTGTTGTCGTTATTGCAATTTGTCTGGGTCCAGGTTTGAACCTGCCACCCCCGGTATATGGGACCAGCACCTTACCCACTGAACAACAGGCGCTGCCCCAGCAACAGCAATTTTTTGTGTCCCTGTTTAATTTCATACATACATACATTTCATACATTCATACATTTGTCTAAAAATTCCCAGAAGTGGGATTGCCGGGTCAAAGGAACAATGTATTTGTAATTTTGGTGGACATGACTCCTACCTGTCTCTTAACACATACTCCCTACCTTTTGCTGTTTATTTTGTTGAAGAAATTGGATCTTTTACCTGTGGTATATGCCACATTCTAGGGTTTTTGCTGATTGGTATCAGTAATGTGTTTGTCTATTATTTGTATTTCTTTTAAACTAATAATTCAGATTGGATGCAGTGGTTTATGCCTGTGATCCCAGAATTTTGGAAGGTCAAGGTGAGAGAATCACTTGAGCCCAGGTGTCCAAGGCTACAGTAAGCTATAAATGTGCCACTACACTGCAGCCTGGGCAACAGAGCAAGACCCTATCTGTAAATAAAAATAAGTGCATACATACATAAATAAACAAACAAATAATCTAGTAGTTCAATCCAGAATTTTGATCAGTTTCAGATTCACTCTTTTGGCAAGACTTTGCAGTGGTGCTGTATGCTTCCTATTGCCTATTATGACCATTCCACCCCTAGTAGTATAGTGGATTCAGGTGTGGGTACCCTGATCTACCCACTGGAAATTCCTCATTTATCTTCTGATTTTGCCTATGGTATTTTTTTTTTTCAGTCTACCCATTCAGTCTATGGTATTTTTTGACATCCAGAAATTTTTTATGTCTATGTAATTGATCAATTGTTTCTTTTATGGTTTTTGGATTTTGAGTAACAGTTAGAAAAAACCTTCCTTATGCTAGGATTGTAAAGAAAATTGGCCATGTTTTCTTCATTTCTATGTTTTTATTTTGAATGGGTCCCTTTCAAGTAATTTTAGGGACCAGGTACAGCTCCTGTATAAAGTAGTGAAATTAAATAATGCTTCTTTGGCCTAGAGGTAACCATTATTAAAAGTTTAGTATAGATCCTTTCAAAATTTTTGAAAGTGCATATTTGTGTAATTTATATGGCATTTCGTTTTGGCATTTATAAAAGTGAGTCAAATTACAAATAGTGTTTATACACATAATTTTCTTTTTTTTTTTTTTT